CCTTATCATCTTTATTGCTCCTCTCTGCATTCTTTCTGGGGCCTCAGCATCTTTTTTGTATCCTGGTGTACCAATGATGAGGTGGAGTAGACTGCTTTAGCCTCACCACAGAATCCTGTTTTTGACTCTTTCCTTTTTTTCCTTTTTCCTAAATGTTATTGAAATTATAATAGCGAAAAGTACAAATGAAAATAAAGAAAATAGGGAAATGGAGAAGGATAAGAATGGGAAAGAAGTGTAAGATAAAGGGGAAAGACAAAAAAAGCATCGTCTTCCAACTTTTTTCAATGCCATAAAATACAAAATAAAATTACAATCTCAACTTTTTACTTTTACATATCAGTATTAGCCTGTCTATAAAAACAAAGTGCAGTAAGCAAAAATCAAGTGTTTGGTATTCATTTTTTTTGTCTCAAACACAAAGTCCAGAAGCAGTTTCCAAGTAGAAACTAATATATATATATTTTTCTCTAATTAAAGCAATTTTGTCATTTTTTTCTAGATCCATCATTTTTCCCATCCATTCTTCTGTTGTAGAGATTGATATATAGATAAGATAATCTTTATTGTCATTATTTTTGCTGTGGGCACACTGGTATACATAAAAAATGAAATTCTGTTGCCTGTCCTCAAAAGTATACACATACATAATACACATATAAACATGCTATATACATGCATACCTACCACCCTTACATATAAATATTAGTCACTGTCCATCTTGAATACATAGCGGAAAGAGGAAGCTTGAAAGTTCACACGGTTGATACCACGGAGCCTCCTCCCAGAAGGTAACAGGGAAAACAGGTCATGAAGAGGATGTGTTGTGTCCCAGATAATCTTGCGGGCCCTGCTCAAACAACGCTTTTATGCCATCATGTCCTGGATAGAAGGGAGGGAACTGCCAATAATCTTTTCTGCCATCCTCACCACTCTCTGCACCGCCTTCCTGGCTGGAGCAGGGATGCTTCCAAACCAGACAGTAATGCAATATAACAGGATGCTCTCGATATCTTTCCATTTCTGTGCTTGTAGGATTCTGGCTGCACTCGTGATCCTGAATGCATGATTACGTGACCACAGGACAATGCACCCATCATAAATATGAGTCAGTTGCCAAGCGGCTGGATTTTGATCACACAATCATGGGGATGCTGCAACGGTGGTAACTGGAAAATGGCCATATGTCACTGTTTTCAGTGTGGTGGTAACTGGGAAAAGGGTCACTAAATGAACTGTTGAAATACACAATTCAGAAAAAGCAGGCCATGCGAAAAGCAAGAATTGAAAGTGCTGGTCACTATCCCTTTATTCTTCACCATTTTAAGAATACCTGCTTAAGGTTCCTATTGCCTATTAGGGGATGTGGTGGGTGTTCTTTGTGGGGTCTCCTCCCCTTAATCTCCAGGGCAAGGGAAACCCCAACACTTGTGTGGAATTCAATTAACCAGTGGAACAACCTGCCTACAGAAGCAGTGAATGCTCCAACACTGGAAGTTTTTAAGAAGAGACTGGACAGCCATTTGTCTGAAATGGTATAGGGTTACCTGCCTGAGCAGGGGGTTGGACTAGATGACTTCCAAGGTCCCTTCAAACTTTATTATTATTATTATTATTATTATTATTATTATTATTATTCAACTGGGGTATAATTTTTGTAACAAGGAAGTAAAAATAAACTGCTTTAAAAAAGGTGAGCGGCTGGGGGAAAAAAGCAATTTTTTTTAAAGAAAAAAATACTTTTTAATTATATGTCAGTTTGTATCTGGTTTCACACATTTATGAATTTTAAGAATGGAACTGCATAGAAATGGCTCCTTTCATTTTTCCGTCTCTCTTTTTTAGGACATTGAAAGCATCTTGAAGAAGTAAGTGACTCCACCCTTCTTTTTACAGTCTCAGAGATCAGCAGCTCCTCCAGCAGTTTTCCTATTTTGGAAAGTTCTGTTTGTATTTCGCAGTAATTTAAAGAAAATGTATTGTATTTCAAGGCTTCATAAATATTTCCCCAGACAACCTCAACACAATATAACTAGCAATATTTGATATGGTGAATTATTATGGTTGGTCCCATAGTCATTGTGGGACATGATGTTTAGATTGAATTTGGTATTTTTATCCATCTGTGGAATCCTTCCCTAGGATAGACAGAGGTTTGATGGTGCTAAAGGTATCATTGTAGGATGTAAGCTGTTCAAAGTAAAGCTGCCTTTTGCAATTGTCAGTGGTTTTATCAGTGCCGATGCTGTTTCAGTGGTGCTCCAGATGTTTTATTTATTTATTTATTTATTTTATTACATTTATATCCCGCCCTTCTCCTTACGGACTCAGGGCGGCTAACAATCGGATAAAAATACAAGAATACAATACAAGTTTAAAATTAATTAAAAGGGAAATATTTAAATCTAGTCCAATTAAAATATAATTAAAACCCCCTCTAAAATCCCCTAGGCCAGTCCCGCAAGCTGGAACAACCATGTCTTAAGGGCGCGGCGGAAGGAAGGGAGATCAGGGATCACCCTGATCTCTGGGGGCAGTTCATTCCAGAGGGTGGGAGCTCCCACAGAGAAGGCCCTCCCCCTTGGGGTCGCCAGCCGGCACTGTCTGG